GAGGATGACAGCGATGAAGAAGAAAAGAAGTTCAAACTGACAAAAATGATAGAAATAATGCTACGCAACGGCGCTACAATAGCAGATATCATATTAAACTTATCACACAGTGCAGTTGCAACAACTATAAATATCGCAGATTTAGTCAATCAGATAACAGCAGGAAATGCACAAGGTAGCAATAGCAATTCATCAAATGAAGCTATTAGTGTTCATAGTTCTCCACCTATTACTGTCCATAGTTCTTCATCAGAAAGTCCAACAGAAATACCAGCACCAACTGAAGACGAAGATTCAGAAGAAGAAGAAAACCAACATTTCAATTTTGAAAAATTAAAATCTAAATAATATTATATATAATGGGTATTGGTCAAAGTAAAAATGATGCAAATAACAGTATGGAAGACATTAAGACTTTAAGAGTAGATGAAAAAACAAGAGCAGATACTTTAATAATAAAATCTATTCAAGAATGTGTGGCACGAATTGAGAAATTAGAAAAAGAAAAATCTGACAAATTAATATATAAATTACCTGTTCAATTATGTAATTATTCTTTATTTTGAATTAATAACATTAAGCCAATGGCTTAATGCTATTAATTACTATCATAATCCGTCATTTCACTTTCGGGTAATTTTGTTGAGGCATTGCTACACATATCATCTATTAAATCTTCTTCATCAACAAAATTATTTTGAAATCTTAATAATTCCTCGTCTGTTGGTCGTCTTTTTAACACTTATAAAGTTTATGTATCCAAGAATTAGTATGAAAATTATAATTACCTCTACGATAAAATCCACCACATCTACATAGTTTCATCGGCATATTATTATATTATATTAAATTAGAATATCTTTATTCATCATTCGTAATTTGAAATGCCTGTTCAAATCTGATATGAAACATTTTGTTAATGTCTTTAGCATTCATATTCACGTAGAAGAAACTATAAGGTGCGTCATTAACGGCTTGATGGTACATATCTAATAATTGCTGTTTATCAACAATGGCGCTATTTTCTTCAATAAAACTCATTAATTCACTGGCATTTTTCAACCTAAAAATATATAATGAACTGGCATTTAAACGAATGATAGGCGCCAACACATTATATTTCTGTGTTGAACAAATTACGCTTACTGCATCGTGCCTGCCTCTTGTAAATAATCCATGTAATAATTTACTATATCTAACAAATTTAGGGTCGTCGGCGTGGTCATCTATAACGATTAATATTGAGTGCAGTTTCTTTATCTTTTTAGATTTCATATAGTTAATAATTTTCTTCTGTCTTTCGATTACATTTTCTAAATCACTTGGATTATAATTATCAAAATAAATTTGTTCTTTTTCATCATCTACATGTAGTTCATCCCTAATATATTTCTTTACTTCTGTAAAAGTTGGGTCATTATGAACGCTGGGGGAAAATATAAATATTCTTGCAAATGAATTTCTATAAACATTTAAGATAAGGTTCTGAACCAAGACCGTTTTGCCGCCTGTCGAACTCGCAACTATAATACTTCTAAATGGTAGTTTTGGCACGTGCTCATATTTAGATTGTTTGAATTCATAATCAGTTATGTTTATTGGTTTTATTATTGGGACATCTGTCATAGTTGATATTAAAGAAATATAGAAAATTATATTTAAAAATTAACTTGTAATTAATATTAAATGGAACATCATTTTTATGATATGCTGGTGGCGAATATCATAAAATGGAACAGGTTTTCCATTGCTTCAATCAATAAGCATTGAAGCTAATTAGTTTGAAGAATTGAAATGAAAACTCCAAGTGCTGTGCCCCATCAATATTCTATTATGCATGAAACAATAAGATTAATTAGAATAATTTATCTTATTATTTAATATGCAAAGGAGTTATACAGATTATATTAATATAATAGATGAAGTAGAAAATATAGAACAAGTAATAATTACTGACAATAAATGTAAGAAAGTATGCTGTTTTGTTTTAGAAATAATTAAGTTAGGAATTCAATATATCAAAAATAAAAATGTAAATATTAATATAAATGCCTCCAAAGAAGAAGCAAGAGAAACAAAAAGAGATTGAATGTGTCAAATGCGAAAAATGCGGTCAAACAATTAAACCATTAAATGAATTAGAATTAGATAAAGAACATGTTAAAGTTAAATGTTGGCCGTGTTCATGTGGTAGAACCATGCATACAGTACATACAGTAAAAAAGAAAGATGCCGACGGGAGCACAGTTGAAGAAAGTTGGGTAGAAAACTTCAAAAGTGGATTTGGTAGGTTATTTACACCTGAGAAAGAATGATGAAAAAATAGTATTTAAAGAGTAGATTTAACACCACTTCAAACGCATAAATAAATAAATATATAAATATTTATATATAGAAATGTCTGAAGTTGAGAATGATGCTATTGCTGAACTATCAAAGAAGATAATGACAGTTAGTAAAAATGTTAAACTGTTGTACGAGATGATAAAAACTATTGACCAGAAACTTGATGCAAAGGCAAACGAACCAAAAAATAACAATGAAGAGAAGGAAAAGATTGACAAAATATTTGAAAAGAAAGGGATAGGCAGACCCAGCGGTGATTATGACACGAAGCGTAAAAAATATTGTGATATGTTAAATAAGGGACAAATCAAAAGTCCAAAAGAACAAACATTAGAATATTATAAACTAATTAAGGGTGATGATGGTAAATATGTAATTGTTGAAAATTAAAATATAAATAATTCTAATAATATGAATTTATTAGAATTATTTAGTGGAACTGGAAGTGTGGGAACCATAGCAAAGTCGCTTGGATTTAATGTAATATCATTAGACTTGAAAAATGCTGATATTAATTGTGATATACTTGAATGGGATTATAAACAATTTGACAGAAACCATTTTGATTTTATTTGGGCATCACCACCTTGCACAGAATACAGTATTGCAAAAAGAACAGGAATAAGAAACATTGAATATGCTAATAGTATTGTATTAAAAACAATAGAGATTATTGAATATTTCAATCCAAAATATTATGTAATTGAAAATCCACAGACTGGATTATTGAAAAGTCAGTCTTTTATGAATGGGTTAAGGTTTAATGACATTGACTATTGCAAATATGGATTTAATTACAGGAAGCGAACTAGGTTATGGAACAACCTTGATAGATGGAAACCCCGAAGTTTATGTAAAAAAGATTGTGGTAAAGTTGTTAATAATAAACATATTGAAACTGCGCAACGGGCACCAAGTGGAAAGCGGGAAAATTGGGGTGAGAATTATGTAAAGCATAAGCAAGAAGATTTATACAAAATCCCGAGTGAGTTGATTTGTGAGATACTGGTTAGTTTGACGGATTAAGGAAACCGAGTTTGGGGTTGGTGTTGAAACTTGAAATTTGCAGGTTCGTCCAACGACAAAAGAGTAAATCATATGAAATTTAAAATTTTGAAAATAATGGTTTTTAAGCCGAGTATCATTTGCATGATACCGGGGTATCATGAGTTTGATACTGTGATACTGGGGTATCGTGAGTTTGATACTGTGATACTGGGGTATCATGGCTTTGATACTGGGGTATCATGGATTTGATACTGTCACCCGAGCACACAGCAAAAACATCTCACATCAAACCGCAGTTGGATGACTTGTATGGTCTGTTGTTTGGTTTTTTGTGTGGTTTGTTGTTTGGTGGTTTTTTTCTATGAGGGTCTTACCCCTAAGCTCGTTATGGATTATGTCTAAAACCATTTAAAGGGATGATGCCTTACTATGGTAGAGGATGAGCGAAGATATGAAAACTTGTAAGCAATGTGGTAATACTTATTCTTCTGATTTGTTTAAGAATAGGATGAAACTTTGTAATTACTGCCGAGAACAGAATAAGATTAAAAATGATGAAACGAAAAAGCAATGGAAATTGAATAATCCTGAAAGGGTAAAAGGGTATAGGAAAAAATACGAAGAAGAGAATATTGATGACATTAAGGAAAGGAAAAAGAAATGGAGAGAGAGCGAGAAAGGGAAAGCAACAATACAAGAATACCGACAGAAAGTTCATTATTGCGAATTGTGCGATTATGAAGTTAAAAAAGGTAAGAAGTCTCAACACGAGAAATCTGGAAACCATCAATATTTTTTACAGAAAAGTTTGAATGGTGAAAAAATGGAACGACCGGATAGTAAAGAAATTGTAAATGGCGTGTTGTGGTTTAAATGTTTGAAATGTAAGAAGAAAGAAATTTATTATGCTTGGTGCGACCATGTATCAAGTGAAGGACATATCAATAAATGTTGCGATGTTGATTGAAATGGTTTAAGTTATTCTTTAAAATGAATAACTTGAAGCATTTTATATAGATTTTGGCGAGTGGTTTGATTATATGCTGGTGTGGCGCGGGGCGTAAGCAAATGATGAGGTTGTGGGTAAGCTGACTCTTGCTTCAACACCCTCCCACCACTTAACATGGAACCTGACAGGGGTTCCTTTGAAAGGAAAATTGTCTTCCAGTCAGGTTCCGTGTTAATTGGTGGCAGGGTATAACCTTACAAGTGATAAGCATCCTGCTGGCATCCACACCTCCAACACCCATAGCAAATGCCCAGCTGCGGAATCAAGCTAGGATGTTGGCTTAGCAAGACACGGGGAAGGCCACCCGAAAGGGATACCAACTCCAAACAAAAAAGCACCCAAAACATGCAGCAAGCAGGAAAATTGGCAAGCCCCCACTCCCACACCCCACCCACTGTAGGAAAGTTTACCAGGGCGTACTATAAACATGTGTGGTCTCTGCGGAGCTTATGAGGTCGTGGTTGCCCATCCTTGCCAAATTCCATGAGAGTGTTTGTTCACCACACGAGGGTCAGTCGACTTATCTAGATTGTCAAAATTGTGCCAGTTGCTCACTTGCAAACCCTCCATGTAGAAGGTTTTTATAACTCCGTTGAATTTAACTTATACCCAAAGCATTCAGTGGCCGATCTCTGTCCTGAGTGCAGCATTCGGCATCAGTGTCGCCACCACTCTGCTGCCGGTCGGGATCTGGCTTCCAGCCTTTCCCACACCTGGGATGCAACATGTCAAACAGTGCGCAGCGCGCCCAGACTCTGAGGAAAAAAACATGGTTTTCCTTGCGCAGGCTTTTTAGAGAGTCGAACATAGATGATCCGGACCCTTGAACTACCGCAAAACACATGTATCAGTTCAGGGAAGCCTGCCAAGCCGCCGGCTAAGGTGCTAGGATTCGTATCACGAATCTTGGGGAGCACCCCATTGAAACTCAGAACTGGGGGAGCTGACTATTGGTCACATATCTGCTACACATCGAAAATTCAGAATGGTGTCGCTTATCAGCTCATAGGTGTCCTGTTGGAAACATAGATGGCCCTGGTAAATGGAATAAAACCCATCTAAACCAGTGCCTAACCTAAAAAGGACACCTATGTATCAGCCATGGTCAAATCTGATGGTGCGTTGGCCATCAAGGTCGTGGTGTCCCTCCTGCAAACCCTTGTGATCGCCTGCATCGCCTAAATCATACATGGGGCTACATCAGTTCATCAGTAAACCCCCCGTGCCGGCCCGGTCTACCCAAAAACATATTTGTTGTTCCATGCCTTTCCCCGACTCTGGCGCATATTCGGTCTAGTTACACAACCATCAAGCGGTTTTGAAGATCCCTGGATCCCAGTTTGGGGGCATCGAAAAACACGTCAGCTCAAGCGCCAAGGCGCGTGTGCACACTGCAGAGTGGCTTGCAGCAGCTGGCTGTGTCGTTGGCGATCCAAGTTGCGTTCCCCTCGTTGGCCGCCCAGCCTTCTGGGCCTCCGCTCAGCTGAAAACGTCGAAACAACGGTTTTCGGGGGATGCTTGTGTCTCAAAATCGTGATCGGAGAAAAAGCATGGATTTGTGGCGGCCCAGGCTGTTCCCATTTGCGGCTATTTATGGGCCGAACAACACCGAGTCGGACAAAACCGCCGTGATGTTTAAGCCTGAGCTCACTTCGTTCACAACTCAACATGGTTACAAACGTGAATATGTATATATATATATATAATATGTGATGATGAGGGTAGAGACTGGGTTTAAGGTGTTTCTGGCTTATGGTTGTGCAGGAACAGGTAAAAATAACAAAGGTAACTGTCAACCCACAAAGCCAACTTGCAGGGTGTCGACCAACGGGTCAGTGATGCACGCAGGAAAGAACCAGGGACCCTTTTTCGATGAGCTTCTTGACACCAAAGGCCAAACAGGTTCTCCCCCACCTTGTCGGAATCAATCGTTTGGACCCTCGACTCACCTCAAACAACATCCCCATCCAACTTCTTCGCCTACTCTGAGGGTCCACAAGGATTTGTGTTTTAGCATTTCAATGCTCCCCACAGAAAAACGCCAAACCGCCTTGTTCACTCATTCTCTGCCCCTGGAAAACTCACCGCCCACAAAACGGCTCCGAGGCGCACTCAAAGAGGCTGCAGGTGGGCGCGCAACACTCCTCCGTCTTTGTGCCGGCCAGGTCCTCTTTGGACGACAGCGGCGCCCTCAGCTCGGGTGCCCGAAGGGCTTTTTGGAAGACCTCAACACTGTTTGCCCTTGAATCACCACCGAACTAGCGGACTGCCCAAACAAAAGGGGGTCAGAGCTGCTTTTTTTGCCGCTCAAGTGGTCTCAAAAAGTTCAACAAGTCCTGTCAGTCGTCACCTTCACTTTCTGAGACCTCGTTTTGGCCCCGATGTTCTGTATTTCGAGGCTCAGTAGGGCTGGAAACCAGCTACTTTCGAACATCCCCTTAAATGCGGACCGGGACCACTCCTTTGCATAAATTAAGGGGCCCATTGAGAAACAGAGAAAAATGTTGGGCGGTCATGACCAATGTCCCTTCAAAACAAATCAACAGGAGACAAGAAAAAGAAACGATTTGGAGACATCAGGCGTACCCCACAATAACACATCCAGGTTTGTAACTGAAACTGAAACTGCTATGGGCAGCAAGCAACGTGCACCTTTGAGATAAAGAGGATCACCGCAGGAGACAGGGGGTCTCTCTCAAACAGATACATTCCCATATCGCGAACCACGTTCCCTCTATTCCCAAATAAACGCTTGTGTTCAGTCTCTACGTTTCCCAAAAAAAAACACCAACCTACAAGTAAATCCTTTCTCACGCCGGATTTAGTGGAACCGGGGAGAGGAGGGGTTAGGCGAGGATGGGTTGGAATCCCAATCCGATCTACTTAAACCACCCTTGATTCATCATCCAAGATGGGCATTAAATCGATGTGTCTCAAAGTTAGGGAGCACTACCAACGCTTGCTTTCCTCCCCTGCAAATCCCATCCAAAAAGGGTGTCCTTATTTGGGTGTTCTTTGTTAGAGGGTGCATATTGGTCTTGCAGTCCCCTTTAAAACATCGAAAGCACTCGAAGTGAATCTCTCTCACTCGCGAGCTGAGCTGGTCACCATCCAGCGTCACACTCCTGGGTACGATCAGACGCCGGATGTCTTGGCCAAATCTGGGGTACGCTATGTGCTCCATATTTAGTCCGCCCTAACATTAGACATGATTTTGGAACAAACCGGGAATATGTTCAAATCTGCAAGCCCGGGCCCTTGACAGGGTGCCCGATCGCCGTGATTTTGATATTCGGCAAGCTATCTCCAGATCATTTGGTAGGCGCAACTACCCTTCCTCTTGAAGAAAAGGAGGTGGTAGCGGGGTCGGACGCTTTTGGACCTGGGCTGAGATCTACCCAAACCTTCCCAAACCACATGTGGATTTTTTAGGGGGAAAGGACTGACCGAATTAATTTTCCAGACCCCCTCCCAAAAAGGAAACAAAGCAAACGTGCAACTGCAACATCACCAAATCCATCCCGTCTTGAATTTCCTTTCTGGAACATTCAAATGGCTTCCTAAGTAATTTGTTCCCAAACATGATAATCTGAAGATTCACAAGGAACTTTGAAAAAAAAAAGAAGCGCTGGAGACACACTTGTCCAGTGGCTTGTTCTTGGCCCAGCGCCGACACCTTCGGACTCTTAGGATCCACAAGCCCCTCGTTGCGGCAACACCCGCTGAGCGCATCGACTGCCGAGCATCGAAGTTTTTACCGCAAGTCTTGTCGCAGCAAAGCTGGTCGTTCTGCGCCACGTTCTTCGCATAAACCTGACTGTCCGCGCGTGCCGAGTCTCTGCTGGTGTGTGAAAGGGGCACCGGGACAACCCATACACCAGGCCCAAAAAACTAATCGGCCTTTAAAACTAGCACACACCATATTGATTCAGAGCCATAAGGGAGCCATGGGTGGGGGTTACAGACCTTGATGGTTCTGGATGGTCCTTGATGGCTCTTAATAGTCACTGTCGGGTTGTTGTGGATCTCTGGAGAGTTGAGGTTGCGCTTGTGGTGCGGGGTCTTTATGTTCTGTGGTTTGTACTTGTGTAGTGTATATTTGTGTCTCTGTGAATCCTTGCTTGTGCTTGTGATGGCCAGGTCCACGTGGTGGTGTTGTGTATCTGTGCCTGTGCTGGTGATTGTGGTTGTGGTTGCGTCTCTGTTTGTGATTGTGTTTGCCCTCCTCTGTGTATGTGTGCTGTGGTCAAAAAATGTGTTTGGTAGTATTGTTCTCTCTCATGCCGCATGCCGTGTTGTTCTCTCTCCCTCACCACTCTCCAAAAGAACCCAGTGGATCCATTAACCTGCATAGTAGGCAACCAAGGGAACCACCCTTGAAAAAACCAAGAGCGAAATAGCTGGTTCCCTACTGGACCTACTATAAGGGCTTGCCTGGGATCCACTGGGGAGGTTTCAATGACTATTCCCAAACATTGATTAAACTTAACAAATACAAAACCCTGCGCCGATTAGAATGAACCCAAAACCGTCAAAAGGGCCACAGTCCGCGCTTGCTTGTGGCTGGGCCTATTCCTTAGCCTTCAACCCAGGTTTTGAGGACGTGGCTTTGGCGATTTTGACTACAAGCGGCCCACTTGACTTGACCCGGTCTCTTCGCATCTGCGAGCAGGGCGAAGCGGTGTCTCCCCGCCTTGTTTGGCAGATACCCGGGGCCGCACATGAACAGAGCACAGGTCCTGGCACAAAGAACACAAAGCGTTTTGAAGCCAAAAAAGGGATCATGCAGTATGTTGTCATCACACTTGCACGCACAACGGCCATGCCAAAAGAGTTTATCCAACATGTTCCTATAACTTGTCAGGAACTCATGCAAAAGAGCCTCTATGGTCTTGACATGAAGGATGTGTACCAACCAGTTTCCTCTTTGATGTGGGGTGGTGTCGACCAAGGATTCAGCAACCCCAGTTTGATCAGAATGGGGGGGCAAGGGGCAACCGCATCATGGGCAAACAACAACAGAGATCATCCATCGTACTTGGGAAGAAATAGCAGCGGGGCACCATCTCTGCACATCCCCATGAAACCAGCCCCAAGGGGGGCTACTTGGGAACAGCAACACGTTCAGCACAGCGCGCTGGAAATCCCCGAGCTGACCTCCCGGAGACCTCCCCGCTCTACCTGCCGAACGGTTTGGGCATGAATCATACACCTGACTGGGGATTGCTGGGTTTACAACCCTCCCAGTGCATCCAGTTGCCTGTGGGTAGCCAAGGGCACCCCGTAAAAACCCACCGGAAAATGGTCGGGTGCCTTCCTGTAGGGTAACTGAGATCGGGCCCGCCTAATCCAACCTGCAAGAAGGGGACACGCAGTTTGCGCGGGTGAAAAAAGCGGGGAACCGACTGAACCGACCCCCCAAACTCGCCCACCTGAAATCAATCGTAGTGCGTTGCTCAAAGGTTTAAAGGTGGCGTTTCAGGGTTGGCTTAAATGCTGTGATGGGCCAACCCCTTATACCACTTTTTGTTTCAACATATTCTCCCCAACCCGCAAAGAAGAACCAGAGGACCCCCCCACTTGACCACATGGTTTGGTTCCAAACAGGCGTACAATCCCCAGTAAACCACAGTAGAGAGGTTAGAATAGAGCGCGGGTCGGCATGGGGGCTGTGTTTCTCGAATTCCTGGGGGCTGCGTTTTTCAGATTCCTGGGGGCTGCGTTTTTCAGATTCCTGGGGGCTGCTTTTCGTTTTTTTGGTTGTGTGATGGCATGCAAGTACAGGCCCATGTTTGTTTATTCCAAGTGGAGCCGCAAATGCTTTCACGCCTTGAAGAATGCATGTTGGGAAGCTAAATAAACTTAGACTTTAAAGAAGACATCCCACACTTCTTGGCAGGGCGCTTCAACACTCCATTCCCTTATTTAGTTGACTAGTTAGTTTGATAATGCTGAAGGTATTCCCCTAATATTCCCCTTCCTTTACTAGTGAAATATTTGGGGAACACTAGGGGGGTAGTGAGGAAACACTAGGGGTATACCAAGAGAATACTAAAGGAACACTAGGGCAATACTAGGGCAATACTGGGTACATACTCAGGGGATACTAGGGCAATATTAAAGGTGAATACTAGGATAATACGTGGGAATACTGAAGGGAATACTGGGGGTATACTCTCAAGCTCGATCTGTCTGACTTCTCTCAGGCTTCCTGACTAGGGCAATACTAGGGCACTACTGGGGAAGTACTAGGGGAGTACTAAAAGTGAATGCTGGAAGAATTCTAGGAGAATACTGACAGAAAACTAGGGGTATACCAACAGAATACTTGAGGAATACCAGGGCAATACTCAAGCTATTCCCCTAGTAATTCCATCCCTTTACTAGGGGAAATAGCAAGGGAATGCTATGGGGTAGTGAGGAATACCAGGGGTATACCAAGAGACCATTAAATTAACTGAATACTAGGCAACAATAGGGGAATACTAGAGCAATCATAGGGCAATACTAAGGAACTATTCAGGGAATACTCGGGCAATATTAAAGGTGAACCTAGGAGAATACTAGGGGAATTTCTGAGGGAACACTAGGGGTATACCAAGATAACATTCAAGGAATAAGGCAATACTAAGGGTATTCCCCTAGTAATTCCACACCTTTACTAGGGGAAATAGCAAGGGGATACTATGGGGTAGTGAGGAAATACTAGAAGTATACCAAGAGACTACTGAATTAATTGAATGGCAGGGCAATAATAGGGGAATACTAGGGCAATCATAGGGTAATACTAAGGAAACACTCAGGGAATACTAGGGCAATATTAAAAGTGAACACTAGGATAATACTACGGGAATTCTAAAAAATACTAGGGGTATCGAGATGACTCCCACGGGAAAAGGACCCACACAGACATGTGAAGGTATGTCTCGCAAGAACAGATTCTGGGTGGCCTCTACCTCATCCTTCAACCTGACATTCTCTGGGTCGACTGAAACCATCTCAATCGAAGATAGAGAATATGTTATGTCTACGGTTGGCTTGAAACAGAGCTGGCTAAGAGATTCTGTTGCAGACGAGGATGCGGAGAAAAGTAAAAACAAATACAACAGAGTTTTCCAAAAAAACAAAAACAAAATTGCAGTCCCTATGTCCGCTTGGACTGCCCAGCCATAGCGCCTGCATTTTTTGTTCTTTTGGAAAACTTGAGTTTTTTCTGGAAAAGAGTAAATTATTTTGGAAAACTGGAGTTTTTTTTCTGGAAAAGAGTAAAAAACCTCGAGTGTTTTGTTTTCCAAAAAAAACAAAAAATGCAGTCCCTATGTCTGCTTGGACTGCCCAGCCATAGGGCCTGCATTTTTTGTTCTTTTGGAAAACTGGAGTTTGTTTCTGGAAGAGTGTAAAAAACCTCGAGTTTTCAAACAAAATGCAGGCCCTATGTCCCCAAGCTTGGACTGCCCAGCCATAGGGCCTGCACATGTTTTTTGTTGTTGTTTTTTTGAAAACTCGAGTTGTTTTTTGGTTTTCTGGGGGCTGCGTTTTTCAGATTCTTGTGGTTTTGCTTTTTCTAGAAAAGTGTAGAAAACTCAAGCTTTTTCACACTTTTCCATGAAAAACGCAGCCCCCAGGAATCTGAAAAACGCAGCCCCCAGGACGACCCCTTCTGTTAGAATAAGGGTACCCTTTTTTCAGTAGTTTATTTTAGTGGGGGAACCCTCCCCCCACAAAGGGCAAAACGGCACGACTGGGGGACCTAGTTTTAGGACGCGTGTTTTGCACACAAAACGCCCAGCACCCGGGCCTTTCGCAGCACGCCTCATTGCTTGCACCCGGAAGGGTGGCGCCACCCATCTTGGCCACCCAGCCTGAGCCTTGGGGGGCGGTAAGCGGACTTTGGCTTGAATGAGTCTGCAAATCCCGGAAATCAAGTACTGAGCTGTCCTCAGATCCCCTGCCAAAAGTTTAACTTCTAGTGGGCTAAATGGAAAACCCCACTAAACACTAAAAAGCTAAAAAGCTAAAAAGCTCAGGGTATGGCTGGGAGCCACCAAGCTACTGTGGATGGGCGAAATCCGCTTCGCACCAATTTGAAACCACGGGAAACCATTGCTTGTTGGTATTCATAGGGGAATCATCATTCCAGGGTTTCTTAGGTAGTACAGGATTTCGTCCATCCACAGTGGATATGCTTCGTTTTCTTGGTGGGGGGGGGGGAATATTGCATTTCAAAAACTGAAAAACATATCTCCCCGAGAAAGGGACCTCCACAGTGATCAACAACGGGGGGGCAAGGGGGCACCCCCTGTATCGTGATGGACATGTTGATTGTATTGCCTCCAATTCTGGTGTACATTAAATCAATCATGCTCAGCTTTTTGGTCCGTCTTCAGTCAACCTTCACATATGAGCCATGTACAAAGTGGTTCAATTCGGGCGACGCCACGGCCCGCCTGAACCAACTGGATTGCAAAAGAGCAGTGTTTGCATTGCTTCCCTCTAAAACCATATCCAAGACTTGAATTTCGTAGGTAGTTTGGGAATGTTCCAGATTAGATTTTAATGAAATGGTAGGTTCATTCCCACAAGCCCTGCTTTTTTTAATCACGGAACTCAAGAGGCACATTCTTCGTGGAGCCTTCTTTGGAAAGATCTCTTTCTGGGTCTGATAATTCGTTCGAAGTGGGGTATGCCCTGCAAGCAGTCCTGCTTTTGAGTTTCTGGGGGCTGTCCGTTCTCTGATCCCCTGCTAGAAGGCAACATCTGTTCTTCGCTAAATGGAAACCCCGACCAAACCGTAAAAAATCCAGAAAGGGGATGGCTGGGAACCACGTTGTGCTTGCTTTTTGTTGTTCTTCTCTCTTTTTTTTTGGGGGGGGGGGTGGTCATGGAGTCACAGCTGCCGACTGAAGAAGGCTGCCCTCGGGGTCTCTCAGGGCTCCGGCCGCACGCGAATTCGTTGCAGCGCTCGTCTTTCATCCTGCGTCGTGAAATCATGGAACAGAGAAAGGTATCCAAACGGGGGCGTGCTGAAATAGGGGACCACAAGAATGTACTTCCTCAGTGAAGGATCTTTGACTTGTTTGCCGTTTTTGTGGTCTTTCCAAACAGTACAAAGCCCAGAAACGGGAGCAACAACTTTTCCCATGGAAACCCCCTAGGAAGGTTCCTGGAAGGATCGATCTGAGCAAAACAAGGCAACTATAAGAAATGGACCCCAAGCCAGGGACCTTTCTGGCTGTCGGCTTGCACCCGAGTGAGCTGATGCATCCAACCACCGCTTTACAGGGGGATCCTCTAGATCAACGGGCGACAGCGCGCGAACTCATTTGGCCATGGGTCAAAATCTGGTATCCCCAGTGAACATCCCAATCCCCACTAAAACAGGTTCTAAAATGGGTGGTGCACCTACCCCAAAATGGGATCCCATTGGTTTTGACCATTTAGCAACTCTGGATTGTCAAGGCGCTTCAATGCCGCCGCCAGCGGGAGAATCGCCAGGCGCAGCATGGCTTCGTTGAACCTCGACGCACGCGGCCGCATGTGCGACGCGACGCGGTGCGGCCGGCTTCGGCTTCGTTTCCTAAGGCGCCAAACTCAACTTTTGCTTTGCAGGCTCGGCGTTGACAGCGGTAGGGTCAGCATGGTGGCTCCTACTGCCTGAGTTCCGATGTGCCAGAAAAGTCCAAACTTGCTATTTACCACTACAACGAACCAATCCCAAGAAGTGACTACAGTCCAACTCAGGAAGTGAGTTGGGGACCCCTAAAGCTGCAACACAAAGTCCCAAACAGTTTGGACACATGGCCGAGTCGTTTGAAACCAACTGGGGCCCCGGCAGGAACCCTTCGGGCGCAAATCCGTTGAAAAAAGAGGATGAAAAGTGCTGAACAGGCTGGAAAGAACAACTTCATCCCAAAACAAGTTTCTTGAGGCTATGGAATCCCCAAATTTGCCATGATAGCCAATATCGCCTGGGGGGCTTGGACACACGCCAATAAGGCGTGAGGGAGCTTGAGCCAGAGTTAAGCGCGGCATGAGAAAGATGACCTCAAAAACGTACCTTTTTGAAGTGCTTCTTGGGGCAGAACAAAAGCAACATGGCTTGCCTTTAGAGGTCACCCATGACGCAAGGTCAGTTTGCTGCAATGCACCTTCAGAGTACCCCACGAGGAGCAACCGCTCAACACACTCGAAAACAAACGCTAGCCATTGGCCCCCGGCCCCCTCCTAGCACCATCAGATGGGCTCATTTTGTCCGAAGAGCCTGCATCGTGAACCAAAGCCTAATTAGTAACAATCAGTTGGCGTACTCAACCGATAGGTACAACTAGATGTGCAGATTTCAACCAGGAACGTGAGCCAGAAATGGGCTACAAGTGGGCTGATTGTCTGGCTTCCAAGCGAGTGTGTTTACCCCTAAAATGGTTTTCCTGAAAACTTTCAAGTGGGGACTCGGGGAGTAAGTTGGTACTAGAAAGACGGGCGCATTTCTCAGCCGCCGTTGCTTCGGCTTCAATACTAATTTGATGTGACTCCAAGGGTCCAGGTGGGTGTCTTTTTGGGGGTTCGCCCTCTTGGCTGGTTTCAAGGGGAAACCAAAAGGCAAACCATCCATTTCGGACTATCAACATGGCTTGTACGGACCCGAAGGCCTGTTGGAACCCGGGTGCTCCAGAACGCAGGCAAGATCGGGGCATGAAGATCTCGTCAGGTCTTAGAGCATTGACAGGATTGGCAACACCTAAAGCTACTGAGATACACCAGGGTGACCGTAGATGACACGATTCTCTTTGGAGGACAGGGAGGGACTAAACTGAGGGGTTCAATAACCACCCAAGCAGTGCGCTTGGTCTGAGCAATTCAATTTGTCTTGCGTGCGCGGAAAGCCAGGAAGGAGTCTTGGCCATGGCCAATTTGCATCACCTGATCTAGCTTCTATGGCTACCGCTGAACCAGGACCCAGCATCAAAAATCACCCCAGTTTGGGGCAATGGCCCATTTCCAGCTTGCGTTGAGGGTTCACGGATCGGAAATCTCGAAACAGCCTCAGGTGTGAAGTCCAATGAGCTTGCTCTCAACTCTGGGACGCCGCCTCGTTCCGCTCACTTTGTGGTGAACCCTGTGCCTGTTCAATATCCTTACCACACATTTTCTTGCCGCACACACACAAACACGCACCTCTCCACCAGAAAACGACCCTTGGCGTCTCCAAGCGGTCTTGGAGACGCCCAAGCCCCTTTTTGGCGTCCGCATTCCGCGACAGGGTTCCCAGATTTCCAGGTTCGGTGGTTTGAATTATCGCCATTCTTAACCCACATTTGGGTTACCTGAACCCTCAAACTGCCCATAAAATTGGTTCTTGCCCCAAACTTGTGGGGCAATACCGTGTTTTTCATTTTTAGGGGTAGTTTGAGGGTCCAGCCACAAAAGAAAAACAATTTTGGTTTGAAGCAGACCCCAGGTTTTGGGCCAGAGTGAGGTTTTCGTTGGAGATGTTTGGAGGGAAATGTAGGGAACCCTGTGAGACCCGAATCCGCAAGGCATCTCTTTGGCCTGGGACCCGAGTCGACTCAGGGAGCAGTCAAAACCTGGTAACATGGACCCAAAACCGCGGTTTTAGAATCGGGTGGATTTGCGCTATTTCAAGCGAGCCTCCGGTACCTTCACTTGCAACCGGGTTTTGACTACCACTCTGGCAGCTTCATCTCACTGGAGGCCTAAGAGAGGCAGGGTGGAGATTGCTGTCTCGGTGGCATTCGCTTGGGTTGTTCCAACTCATTCCCTGCCTATCGAACCAGCAAGTAAAGGATATTAGATTTGTGAAAACTGGCTGCTGGTAAACGTGATTGTGCGGGAGCAAATGTATCCTTTTGACCTGACAACATCCTTTACACGCCAGTGGCTCAGGTGGTGTTTCTCGCATCCAAAGTAGGGGGACGTCCAAAATGATTGGCTGCCTTTTGGTGTCCCTTTCGCAGGGGCCACTGGATTTTCACCTTCAGAGTTGCAAATGACAGGTGGGTTCCAACAAAAATGCCACTTTTGGGAGGTCCAAAAAGGGAACTCGAGGGACCCTTGCTTTTTCCAACCTTTTCACGGGGCCCGCATGCGCAGCTCAATCACAAGCACCTGAATCAAGCGCTCAGTTTCCGGCAAGAGATGCGCCTCCTGCGCGAGGTGTGCGAAACCCGAAACGGCGGCCGGTTGGCTTGGTTCCAAATAACACATTGGCGTGTCCCTAAGTGGAAGCACACACTTTAACATGTAAACATGCACTTGTTGCATATACATGTCTAAATTACCTGTGTGTAAGGTTCATGAAGCTTATGAAGGCATATCATGTCATATCACAATCACAATGGCTTGTGGAAGAAAACACTTTATAACATAACTAGACGTGCCACTGGCCTCCTTGGCTGTTCTCAAGATACTGGGCCGTTGATTCCTCTAATGAACCAAACATACGTGTGATTTTAGATTCAATATTGATTGACCCCTAAATCTAACAATTCAAAAGAGATCCTGCAAGCGATCATGGTCACAGCGTCACAGCAAGGGAGCCAACCACCTTTAGCACCAACTCATTCAGATTTTCCCGAGTGCATGGCTGTTAAAATGATTTGTTGCAGCCCATGTGATTTCGATTGGATGGTTACGAAATCCACCTAACACCTTGCGGGATTGGTATTCTTTCAAGCACTACTGCAATCGAGTTTTTATTATCCACAGTACCAAGATGGGCTGACCCCGCTCCTTTCTCAGTTTCGAGAGCATTCCGGAAAAATCACCAATTGAGCCAAAACTCCAGCTTTCTACAACCATGGCCTGCAGCATGAGAAACACACTACACACTTTGGTATCAACAAGCAAGTATCCAAAGCATACTATTTGGTAATGAAACTCCTAACGGACTCACCGGGTTTGTAACCCGGTGAATACAGGTGGCCAAAACCGACAGTCATTTTCCTTCGCTCCCACTCCTGCGCCTCTTTGCTCGGACTCCGGGGCGGGTAGCTCACGGATCCTCAGTGCCACAAATACCCCAACCGTTCACTGCAATGCAGACCTCACACCCTAAAGAACCAGAGAGCCTCGTGAAACTTCAGGCCTTTCACAGGCTTTACAAGGCATCAGTCCAACCAGGTACCAGAAGCGGTAGCGGGGCACTGTTGAGCCAAACTGCGTGATCATAGGGCAACGCGCGTAATTGTTCGGCCCCTCAAGTCTTAGAGCTAGCCGGCCAAGAGGTGAGGTGTCAACAGCATCCAAACAGGGACATATGAATCACGAACCCAGCACAGAAAATACAAAGACCCCACAAACCCAGGGCTTTCAACCCCGTAGTCGGTCACTTTTCATGTTGAATTCATCCTTAGAAGCCAACCATAAAGAAAGTACCCTCCAACAAATTGGGGCCCAGCGCCCACCAATGCGAAATAGGGCTAGAAGCTAAGGCCGGCGCGGCCCAGTACTCCGCCCTGCGCATGGAGGCCGTTGCTTTTGTGTTGCCTCATGAGGAAGTGGATTTGCCAAATCCTAAAGAAAAGGAACTCAGGACGTGAGTTGCAGAGAAAAGATCAAAGGCCCGCTCAAAACGACCTCATGTCTCCCCACATGCTCCCCCGACAAACCTATGGGTTTGCTTTTTGTCAATTGCCCTCTTCGTCGGTGACAACCTTTGCTTGCCCTCTGCTCGGTTGCTGGTGAGGGTAAGGCAAGCGTGTCCTTGGGACGACATCCCTACCCCCCGCAAATCTTGACCTCCGCCGAACCCTGCCGAAGGGAATCCTTACCAACACAGGGATCCTTACATTATACACCCGAACATTGCCTTGCAAATGGTGGTGTCCCTTTATTTTGGTGGAGAAAGCCATGTTTCAGAGCCCTGCAACAGGACGCGTGTTTGCGGCAAAAGCAAATTCACTGAGTTTCTTTGCTATCGCATCAGCCAGCATGACTTTTGATGACTGTGTGGTTTCAGTCAGCTTCATCAAGCATTTGCTTTGGGGATTGTTTCAAGTCAAGAAACTTGCGTCTTTTGTTTGGAAAGGTCCATCCAAACCGTGGTTTTCAGGGGCCCATCCAGAGGGCCTACTTTTGTTCTCCACTGGCTGCATCCCCAGCATCCCCAGCATCATTTTGAACCGGTGCGGGACATCCCCAGCATTGCCCGCATCACCAACGAAAAACCAGCCTGACACAACCAAGTCAAGCCTGAACCAAAAATCAACCCAATCACCCCAAAAGCAGCCGAACGACCAACCACCCATAACCCACTCAGTCGTGGTTGAAACTTAGGTTTTCATCCTCGAACACTAAACTGACCATAGCCAAACAGCGAAATGCGACCTCATTTGGGTGCATGTCTGCTGAAAGCCTGGGGGTCGTTGCCCAAATAGGTCTGGAGTTCGCTGCAGCTGGCTGCGGTGGCTGGCTGCATGTCAGTGCGGATGCCTCCTCGGCTTATATTCGAGGCTCCATTTTGGGTCAGACAAACCTTTCTGGCATTAAGGGAAGCCACCAGGAAGCCGAAACCCGACCTGGCTGCAACTCATAGGAGTTGCAAGCCAAGTGGGTTGTAGGTTGTAGCTCTTAATGGCCTCCATTAATAAATGCTCCCAAATAGTTTGGGGAAGGGGGGTTTGCAAGGGGCAGGGATTAAGCGCTTGATCCCCAAATGCCGTCATGTTCCATGGTTTTCGGGGTTGAGTGTGGTTTACTTACACAAAATGCTCAGGGCTTTGTGCCGAATTCAGAGCCCCGGCTCGTCGAAAGCTCTGCGCCTGCAGAAGTGAAGGGGAGTAAGGCCTGAGAGCTGAACTGCGACGTGCAAAAGGCGCCTTGGGGTAGGGGGTCCGAGAGGGGGGGTCCGGGGGGTCCGGCAAGGGAGGCGGGGGAGGGAGGGCTGGGTTTCGGGGCTGAAAAGGTATTCTGAAGGCGATGTGGGTCAAGGACACGTGATGGTTTTGGGGGAGTATGGGGAATCTAGAAGCCTTTCTTCGGAAGGGAATCAACCACTGATTATCTTGCGGGTGCTCAGTAGGGACTGACCCAGGGTGTTGGGAATGAACCTAAATTCCCAAGGAAACGACAGGGGATGGTTAGGGGTGATTCCCTCATTCCCGGCTGAGAACCAGCAAGTTCTTGAAGAGGGCATCCAGATCTCTGGGACCCGGAAACAACACGGCTTTTTATTTATGCCCTTCTCCAAACCAGGGGCCCCTGATCGATGCCACGACAAGACCAAGCTGCAACAAGAAGGTGCAAGCAAGCAGTTTTTGGGGTGGTCCCTACGCAGGGAGCAAAACTCACCCGGAACTAGAACTTCACTGAAAGGAAGAAACTATCCCTTGCCCCTTCTGCCCTGCGTGGCTTGGATTAGTTTTGAGGTGTTTCAGTAGCGCGTTCCCCATTTGGGTTCAAAATCTCAAACCCACAGCGTGCCACCTCTCAACTGGTCTATTTCAAAGGGAGGTTCCCGATTTTGGGAGACCTCCTGGTTTCCAAGATCTAAGCAAACCCGATTTGAATGAAGCCAATAGCGATCGGCTGAGCAGGGGTTCCGTGCCCCTTTAGTTGGGAAAAGACATGCCCCCCTGTGCCCCCGAATGCAACACCTTTCTTGGAAAGGCTTTCTTTGCTTGGGTGAGGTGAATTTCCTTTTGGTGGGGCAATGTTGAAAGGGCCAGCTTATTTGCAAGGCAAGCTGTGGTGAGCTTATTTGGAAAAAGGCGATGCTAAAAAGGTTGGCAGTAGCGTTGAAACCAAAACTGAACTCGAGACGTTCAAAAAAAATGCTCAAGAAGATCGACCAAACCACAACAAACAAAGAACAGGTAAAAGTGTAGTCCCTGGTGAAGGGATGCTAACCCAGATCTGGAGTGGCAAAGGCAAAAAACCACAACTTTGTTGGGTTGGCTGCCAACTACCCCAGAAAAAAATGCAAGAATACGACTAAACCAATGTCTGGGTCACACCTAAAAGGACCGGGCTTCCTATAATTCACAAACAGGAAAACAGTAATCCCAAAAGAACTGAGTGGTATGAAATAACTTGCTTTGGGTGCTTTTTTTGGGGGGGGGCCACCAAAATGGTGGCTTTCCATTTTTTCCGGTTCTCCTTCAAAACCAACCAAAAAGGATTCGGTTCCCTCAAAAAGAGACGAGCCGCCCTTTTTTTCTGTCAAACATGTATTCGGACCCGCGAGGCTCTGAGGCTCTGAGACTCCCGGCGTTCCCGCCTGTCAAGTCACGGTCACTGCCCAAGCTCTACTGGCTTTTGGCCTCCTCTCACGGAAAATGTGAGCCACAACAAACAAACCCGAGATGAAGGTAAGGCATAATCCCAATCCCAACCATAAATGGATGTATACAGCCGCCTTCTTCATTCTGTACATGAGTCATTTTAAAGGGCTGATTGTGACTCAGGTGTTCGGCCACTCCACAGGGAGCCTTAGGATATGGGATAAGCCCCTGTTAAGGCAGCTGACAGCCCCCCTCTCCATGTCATATATCTGCCGAAGTATTTCGACTGGACGCTTCGACCCTTGTGCTCTGTCATCTTTAGGCTCACAAATGCCCTTTTAAGCCAAACCCAGGGAAAACATACTTGGCCGCCTCTGTTTGATTGTAAATAGGCTTAGACGTATAAACCTCCTACATAGGGCTTGCGGGGTTTAGTTTATACTCCTCTTTGGGCATGTGTCAAAACAGGGGGGTCTCGAAAAAAGGTGCTTCTCCTTTTTCGGGTTCTCTTGAAACCTTCCTGAAAAGGATACCGATTACGCAAGCAAAGGTGGCGGCCAATGGGAGCTCCTTCTGCCGGAGCTTTTGGGACATGTTTCGCGCGTCAAAAAGAAGCCTCCAGGCACATTTTGAGGGGCCACATATTTTTCTAGGCGGTCCCTTAAAAAGCCGACCCAATGAAAGAAACACCAAAAACCTTTTCCCTGAAAAATGCGTGGCTTCCTTCCGGCATTCCCCAGCTTGACTGCTTTTTCAACCATTCCCAAAATCCCATTGTCTTCATCAAGTTTCCCTTGATGTGCCTTACGTTTCCCTTGGCTTCCCTTAGGTTTCTCTTCGGTTTCTCTTCGGTTTCCTTGTTGGTTTCCTTTTTGGCTCCCGTTCCACAAGGCTTCCCCCCCCCCGGATGTACGCAAGCGCGCCTCCAGGTGGGAAATGGCGCGGGGGCCAAGGCGGTTCATTAGCTTCTTGTGGCGCAGCACCTCGCTTTGCCCACGGCCACAAAAGATTAGCGCAAAGCGGTGGAGTTGGCAAAATGAACCTCCTGGGGTTTGCTGGGGTGGATAACCCTACCGAACAAAAGCGGCCAAGTAGACGGAGTTCTACGACCCACACACCCAAACCACTACGCCCATGTTTGGCCGAGCTTTCCCGACTAGGCTAGTGGCACTATCTCAGCGGGTAGGCTTTTTGGGGCAGTGGCAAGCATAGATGGAATGGTCACAGGAAGCCATGCCCCTACTATCAAACCCGAAAGGTCTACTTGCTACGTGGTGGCAAACCCAAAGTCACTGCCTTCAGGTTGACGCCTCTCCAGTGACCCAAGATCCTTCCGACTCGATCGAAAGTTGCTCCTGCGACTTAGCGTCTGCATCTGAGCTCCTCGCATCCTCACTGGGGATTGTATCCCTCATTGCCTGGAGCCTTGCCGAGGGTCGGGAAGCCAAGTTGCGGACCAAGGCATCGTGCGCCAATTCACGTCGCGAGAACTGGGCAATGATGTTTGCTGTTCAGCAGCGCCTTCGAATGGGAAACAAAAGCATGACGGCTTCCTAGGTTCTTTCCAATCACGGAAAGTGGGCACGAGGATTTTGGACTGCCATCATCTTGAGAGGGCGCTTGGTCCATTCTTGGAAGGACAACTGAAAAGCGTGTTCATGGACATCATTGACATGAACTTTAATAGGGGTACAACTTTAATAGGGGTACCCTTGGGAGGAAGGACCCCGCAGAGTCCGGAGATTCACTCTTCCCATGCGTGTGTCAGCCCGAATCAAACCCTAACAGTCTACCCAAAGCCATGTAATGCAAGGGTACCAAAGGCCCCTTTACAAAAATACCCACCAAAAGCCGTCAGGGGTACCAAGGCACCCTCTCCAGAATCACATGGCGAACGGCACGTGCCTCTTGAGACCTTCAACTCTCTCAACTCAGGTTTTGCAGCACGGGAAAAAGCAAAGGCTTTCACCGTTACACCCCTGAAACATTAAATTTGGGCCCTGTTGCCCTCAACCCTTCTCGTCCTCCCTCACTCAGTAGAATATGAATACGTGGACGGACCAAATAGGCAGGTGGTTTACCAGTTTTAAGGCTTGAACCATGGCTGCGAAATGGACCTCTCCCATCAGAATTGTCAGATGCTACCGCATGGCGACTCGGCGAAGGCTTCTCGGCCTCTTCCACTCTTGCCGGGTCTCCAACAGCTTCCGTCCCAGGGCCTCCGCGGGGAATGGATGGAAACGGACTTCCGTGGCACCCAACTCATGTGGTTTATCAACCGGTGTCATCCTGCACCATCATTCTGCACCAGTTTTTCATTGGGCCCTCCAAGATGGAGGATTCAGTCGAGGTTGCAGCGCGTGACAAACCACCTCCTTTCCCGATCCGGGCCTTTTTCAGATTCGGGAAACCAGGAGAGGGAGCGGGTTTTCGGGGTTTCGGAAAAAAAAAAAAAAAAAAAAAAAAAAAAAAAAACTGCTCGGCAGAACCGTCAGATTCTCTTGGGTGTTTTTTTGCAAAATACTTTTGCATCCTCTAGTCCTCAGCCCCAGACCATCTCTGGTTGGTTGCAAATGGGGATACGCCCCAGGCCCCACTTGGGTTTCATAGCAAAACCCAAAAAAAGGCGGCCAAGAACGCGAGCCGGAGCGCTCGCTTCTTTGGGTACACCCCACTTAGGTTTCTATGATACAAATGGGGCCACATGTACAACCCCATTTATAGCCGCACAAAGCTTTGCGGCCAAGCACGCGAGCGGATTTGCGGCGATATCTTTTCTCCTCATCCTCAAGAGCTCCACCAAATGCAAAGTGTCCTCTGCGCGCGACTCCTGAAGGGAGCGCGACGAAATGGCCATGCCGATGCAACGGCTGGCACGCCGGCCGTTGACCTTGCTTGCCAACAAAATGGGCAAAGCATGTACTCCCCTTTTAGCGTAATTAATATGGAACCCACGAACCTAAGCATCATTTGGGTCAGCTCCACTGGAAGGACTCGGACCTGCAACATGGTCTGCTTGAGGTCCCAACGTTCGTATCCATATGCAAACTCAAAGGAGAGCCGCACCTATGCCCGGATTTATCACAGGAATCCCTTGATTGACCCATCTGAATTTGGGGAGTATAACTCAAGCTTCCCTTTCTTTGGCTTCCAACTATATAGGCGCCCTAGGGCAAATAGATGGGTTTCCCTGGTAGATGATTGAACCGCCAGGTAAACCAGGAATCGAAACCCATCGATTTTTCGACCAAAACAACCAAAAAGGACAACTATGCTTCCAACATGACCCCTCCGGCCCAAGGTCTGGCTGAAGCGATTCGCGCGCTCCTCCCAGTCCCAGACTTCCAGCTCGAAATCTAAGCGGTGGAGACTCCTGCACGAGCGCGGTCGCCATCGAGGGGCCATGACAAGCATGATATATATATATATATATATCAATACTCAAGTTGAGAAGAAACCCAACATAATCACGTATTGTTTGATAAATATGTATAGACTGTATGCATGTGTATGTGTGTATGTATGTGTATGTATGTGTATGTCATTACGTATTTGTATGTATGTGTATGTATATGTATATTATGTATGTGTATGTATGTGTACGTATGTGTGTGTGTACATATACCATAGAGGTGACTACCTGAATGATCAACATCCCCTCTCTGTTGATCCATGCGAGGCCTCTTCCAATGCAGTCTGTTCGAATTCCAAGTCATCAGTTGGCTAGATGTCTTTTCCCCGCGGAAGTAAAGGCTCCACACCCCTCTCCAAGGACGCTCACCAAAAATTCATCAGCCTGTCCACAAGGCGATGTTGAAGACCAAAAGCCCAAAACAACATCAATAAAAGTGACCCTGGTTTGCTCATAGCGAATCTCTGAGGCAAAATAGAGTTGGAACCGTCTACATATCAGAAGGCGCAGCTTTGGTCAACCAATGAATCGATGGGCTCAAGTGCCGAGACTCTCGAAGCACAAAGTGCCTGTGATGGGCTGTCATGGGAGCCTAGGCAAAAACAAATGTTGCGTGAGCCAACAATGGTCAGTATTTCTTGTGTTTAATTGGATTTACCCCCCCAGTCAGCCTCGAAACTGCCCAAACTGGACTTTCAGTTCCTTTGAGGCTCTTGCGCCCTCTGTTCTGGGTTGAGGTTGCTGGGCCACCTTGCCTTCACCCCTCCCCTGTCCCCCCAAAAGGGGGGTGAGAAAAACGCCAGGGCCGGCCGAGCGGCAGAACTTGGCTCGCGCCCTTCTGCAGAACCTGCGGTCTGCTTTGGGAAGAACCAACCCAGCACTGGGGCTGCTTGTCGAGCATTTTTGCCCACAGTTGCCCTAAATATCACATACATGGGTGATACTTCTTTTTTTTGGGGAGAGTAATTCCCTTGGGCTTAAGTTTCAAAGGGCAACCCAAGGGAAACCAGTTATTCTCTGGGATGAAAAAACACCCCGAAACTGGGAACCTCACCAGATTGATTCGCGTGTCCAACCCAGGTGCATTTGGTATTTGGGATGCCGACGAGATGTTGTTGCCGCGGAGCCCCAAGCAGCATCTCTTTTGAGTGGATAGATCTAAGTATTCCATCCCTTCGAATCCAGCAAATCACCCATGCACAATTGTTGAACAGAATGGGTAATTAAGCTATATGGAATCATATGCGGAAGGAATCTATGGGTTGGAAACCACCCATAGTTGTATGAGTTCCGTGTGCCGAGCCTGAAGTTGGCTTCGTCCTGGAAGACAGTCCCTTCCTTTTCCTCAGTCCGTTGATCCCTACAAGCTAAACATTTAGTGACCAGTTCTTGCGACAAGGTAAACTGTCCCTATGACTCCCCAGATCAAAGTCGCGTCCCTTGCTACCTCCTTCGAGTTGAATCTCCTTTCGGGGCACCCTAAAGTGAGGTGTTTTAATTCGCAGGGGACTTTGTCACTTAGGGGATTCCAACTTGACGACAATATTCCACGTTGAGAAAGTCTTAACGCTCCAACTTGAAAACTCCCAACACGGTTGCCACTGCGAAAGATATTAGTGGGATTCCCTTGGTACAACAAGTGGCACAAAAGAATCCCTCACTTCCCACTCCTCCTCCAGGATCCGCCAGGCTCGTAGCCATCGCCGGCTGCGTGCTGCGCCTGGGGCTGAAGTCAAGGTCAGCGAAAGCAAAGGACTTGGGCTGGTTCCTAAAATTGGGACTCCAGGGGCTCCACGTGTTGGGGTTGGTTCTTTAGAAGGGCTCCACTGTTTTTCCCAGATTGTTTGAGTTGATCATTGCGAATCGGGAAACCGTGATCCTCAAGGGATCCAGCACCCCCTCCCCCCTCCAACGCCATATGATATGTGGTTTGTTCAGTGACTTCCGGTAGGGGTTCTTTTGGGGGCAACTTGACAGGCATGGGGGGCCAGTGTTCCTTTTGAGTTTCACTTGGGTTGTAGTTTTGAGGTGCTCCACTTTATGTCGGAGTTGTGTGTTCTAACATTGCAAGTACGGCAGGGACATGTAGTCTTCTCACTTCCTGAGTGGATTGGCCCAAAACTGCCTGAACTGTCTGTTTACCACTAAAATGGTCTTCCCAAAAAGTCTAAAGTCGAGGTCCATGAACCCATGGACTCAAGCGGTGAGCTTAGTTGACTAGTCATATCCGTGCGTCCCAAAATCGCCGAAACCACCCCAACTCGAGCCTGAACGAGCTGGGCAGCCTGCACGCCTCAGGGCTCCAGCTCAGCTCTCCGTGTCTCTGTGTTGCACACGTGGAATCACCGGGTTGGCTTTCTGAGCGACAGGCAAACCCCTGACTTCTCGCAAGGCTGTGCACCCTTAATTGAATCTCAAGATCCTCTGAAATGTGTTTTTTCTTGTTCGTTTCCTTTTGAATACCAACCACAAGCGGGTCCCCCAAAATCTTATAAACACCTCCGGACCCCATGCGCGAGCGATTCGAATCCACTCCGCCTTTCAGGAAGCGGATCCTCTGGTGGCAGTGTGTAAGGCTGAACCTCAGGCAGAATGGAATGCTCAGCCGAAACTACCCCGGGAACGAGGGATTTAACGGGATATACAGCCACCACATGACGAATGTCCACGCTTCGGAGACCCAAATGGCTTTGATGAAACAAGGCAACACCAGGCGTCGATGCTTTCTGTAAATGAGTTCCGGTTGCACGACTGCTCATACCCAAAGGGAGAAAGAAAGAAATAAAAAAGCAAGTAAGTAAATATATATATATATATATATAGGCTTGTGTTTCTTTTGGGCTTCGTACCCTTTTTGAGGAGTTGGCCTAAAGGAAAACCACAGGTAAAACCACCCAATTGGTCAACAACCCTATTTTGAGGCATGCCCGTGTGGAACGTCAAAAAAAACATATGGAAGCTATTCATAAGGAAACCAGCAGGGAAACCACCCTTTCTTTGGGCACAACAAATCAGTTGAACTCGTTTCCATGGGTGTCCCGTCATTTCTTTGGACCACCTGGTCCGGACTGGTAGCCCTGTGACACTCCCAGCTAGTTTCATTTACCTGTGCAGGTAACCAGAAGAAACACGTTTTGAAAAACCAGAAACATGGCTGGTTACCCTAGTCTTGTAGCAACTGGGACTGGCGCTGATCGACAAAATGGCACCTTTCAGGGGCCAGGCTTTTAATAGAGAAGCCATCTAACAACTGAACAGCTGGGTAAAGATGAGTAACATAGACCAGAAGGATACGCCCAACTTGACAACTCGAACGTTGAGCCTGTTTGAACCTTCACAATTTAAAAAACTAGAAGTAAGGGATCAAAAAAAACCATCCCCGCTTCTTGCGGCGGCCCCGCCCCGCGCCGCAGCCGAGACGGACCGGTTCATGATTGTGGATTATGATCGCAATTCTCACAAAAGAGTTGGGCTCATGGAGGGGGCTTAATGGATCATTACATTGCAGAGGTTCTCAAATTTCGATCTGCGTCACCTTCTACGCACGGACAGCTGGGTAGCAAGCACCTAAGCGGCTTGACTCAAGTGAATTGGCTCAGCACCTGGTTTGACAGTGTCCCAGCAGGACTCACATATGTTTCAATATAGCCTGAAAGCAAGGCTAGTGGCTTGTTTGCAGTGACTTGCTCAGGCTGCACATTACATTCTTACATAAGCTGCGTGTCTTGGATGCCCAGACACTTGCTCAAACGCGACGTGCGGACGAGCACAATGGCATGGATGAGAGCGTCTGCACCTTTGCCGCGT